TCTCTTTATAGTACACCAAAATTCAAGGCCAGTTAAAAATAAAATACCCAAATAAATTGAGGGAGATTGCAGATACCCAAAGGTTGACATTTAAATACATTGTGTGAACTTTTCACATCACGCATGGGTAAGAGAAAGGTATAATTGTTTTCAGATTGCCTAATATGGGGCAAATCAGAATCAACTCATTTCTGTTGATCACCATGAATATACTTTTATTTCCGTCATCATCTCAAGATCTAGACAGTTTTTTAGTCTCTTGTTTCTTTTTTTAAGAATTTTTTTTTTTAATATACTCATGCTCTCCCTCAGGACTTTAGCTATAGCCAAAGGTTGAGAACCTATGATATTTTTGTTATTACCTCAACAGAAAAAGTATTTACCTATGATTATTCTTGCTATATGTAAGTTTTCTCTGAAATCCTCCCCCACTGCCATCTGTATGTTTGTGCTGCAGCAGGACTGGAGCCTGACTGGCCACTCTGCCCTGCACGTTGCCAGGTTACCTGCCACAAGTCCACTTCCTGCCCAACCGTGCTTCTCCCCAACTTGCTGACTTTCACCGTCAGGTTGCAAACTCCCAAGTGAAGAGATAGGAAGACAGTTTGTTATTGATCTCTATTAAAAATGACATGTTATTCTGTCAAAAGTCACACAAATTTCTATGTACCCTGAAGGTTCAAATTAAAAAAAAAAAACTGTTTAAAAGCCAAAACAAAACAAATAGACATGAGAGATTTCAACGATGGTTGCAGTTGCCATGCACTGAAATCAGTCTTAAATTATGATGTTGTCCTTCTGTTCCTTAGAGAATTTGAAAATCTGTTAAATGGGTAACCTGGTGCTAATTATCTGATTTCTATTCATTCTATTAAAGTTTATTATATTTATTTTATTTGTTAAATTCAGGTTAGCTAATACATGTCATTTGCATCTGAGAGGGAAGAGTTTTCTTTGCCTTACACTTTAGAAATATTTCATATTCTTCACTATTCATGCACATCTAAATCAGCTATCACTTAAAATCTTGGCCTCCTTGGGGCGCCTGGGTGGCTCAGTTGGTTGAGCGTCTGACTTCAGCTCAGGTCATGATCTCACGGTCCATGGGTTCGAGCCCCACGTCGGGCTCTGTGCTGACAGCTCAGAGCCTGGAGCCTGTTTCAGATTCTGTGCCTCCCTCTCTCTCTCTGCCCCTCCCCTGTTCATGCTCTGTCTCTCTCTGTCTCAAAAATAAATAAACGTTAAAAAAAAAAAATCTTGGCCTCCTTATTCCTTTTTTCAGAAGGTTCACCAGTGTTTTGCTTTATTTGTTGCAAAGATTATTCCCAAAAGAAACTATAAGAAATTATTAATACTTTATCCAGGAAATGGGAATTTAAGGAACAAGCTTCTTGTTGTTTGTGGGGTTTTTTTCCTAATGAGTAATGAGTTAATTTTGCTTTCATAAAAACTTGCATATCAAGATGAATTTCTGGTGCCTCCTGGAGACAGAGCATTATTTGCAAGACTCTCTGCATCCTGATCATTGCCAAGGGAGTTCCATCGTATAGAACATCAGACTTAGTTTTAATGAGAAGGGTGATCCCTCTGGCCTTTCGTCACTAATACTTTATTTTGTATAAATTCCTCTTGGGGAACTGAATTAAGGATGCCATTTCTCATTATAACAGTTGGAGATGGAGCCCAAGTAGCTGGAATTTCTGTTGTGGAAGCAACACAGATCAGACTAAGAGGCTGTTCTAGGTTCTCCAAATGCCATTCAGTATGTAATAAGGAAAAAAACACCATTGTCTTACCAGTTTCTGCTATTAAAATGGATGGCTCTTCCTTGAATTCTTTCATTATAGATTCATTCTAATTGACTCTGAGTCAAGACCACATCGATTTTCATTTCTTTCTCTGATAATTAAGAGGGAACAGCCACTGGAATGAGGGCTGAGGTCAGGGTCTGTATTAGGCAGGAAACATGGAAGGAGCCCTTGATCTTGGCTGTGAAGATGTCCAGAAACAATATGGCAGAACAGCAGGAGGTTGGGAACACCAGTGAAGCAGTCTGTTTTGAATCAGGTCTTTGGAATCAGTCCTTAGTCTGAGGGCCAAGAAGAAATCACAGTCTTTCTACCTAATTGCTGCTACCAAGAATGCAGGAAAACATTCTCAACCGAAAATAGTAAGATTCCTGCAGCTATCCCTGTGTGTTCACACCAGTCATTTTCAGCAATAACAAACATGAGGATGAGGTTTCCTACCCTGCATTGATAATGTCCAAGTTGACAATTTATGTATAAAACTATTATTTGGACCAGATTCAATACCTGTAAAAAGAAAGATATCAAGGTAAGGAGATGTAACACATAAAATAATGATTTGCATGGCTTTTATTTGAAGGTATTTTGTATAATGCTTTCTGAGGCAGAAATGTAAAAGACAATTAACTCATTATTCATGCTTTTTTCATATTCATACAGATATGACTGTATAATGAAAATTGGTCTTTTGCCATGGGCATAATGCTGAGTCTCTCAGTAATAAGTATTTTCCAGGACCAGGGGATTTATATGCTAAAATCATTTTCACAAAGCAAACTTTGCCTCAAAAACAAGGCTCTTGTTTTTAGGGGATGCTTGCTATATTGCCAAGATCTTTGTGTTGTTTACCAACAGTTACATCAGATACAAATTAGGAAATTTAATTATAAAATGGTCCTAATCATCCATAAGTGTTTTAATTAGCTTATATTTATTCATTTTTAAACTAAATAGAGAAACTTCTGTTTTCTTTCAGTAAATCCAGAGCAGTCATTCAGGGCTGAACAATAACAAATGTGGAAAATGTTCGGGTTAGGCGCTCAGCTGGTTAGACTTTAAATCTGTGTATTGAGCTTGGGCAAATATAAACCCACTCAACTATTGGATTAAGTGCTATATGTTTTCATGCAATTAGGTTTGAGAAACAGTTTAAAATATCAGTTGATAGGTTAGTTCCACTTGATGCATTGTTTCAAAGTAGTTACTGTCTGGTAGAACACTATACTCCAGGTAATGGAACCTAATACATTTTTGATAACAGCCTGGAGAGAAGAGATTTCATCTTCCAGTGGAAAACATTATCAGAACAATTTTCATTGTATGCCTAAGGCATTTGGGTATTGTCCAACTTTAATGATTTAGGAAAATCCTAGATCCCACAAGAACATCAGAAAATCAGAAGTAGGTAAAACTAGTAAGTTGAGTCTGTATATAATCTCACTCATGAAACTCATTAAGTAACATGATCATTATTTCTCTCTGCCAGTGAGCTGAGAACTAAATGGGGAATGTGGTTCTGAAGGAAGGAGCATAGCGGTAGGTCAAGAGTGTGCAAGATTTGGTTCTGTGGTTCTGCTGTGGGCAGTTAGGATTGACTGATGCAAGACGGATAATTTTTCCAACAGTGGTATCCACAATCAACATAATATGGTTAATCTGGAGACTAGGTTAACTGAAAGTAAGAGAAATAGTTGCAATTCCTTTTTAAAATGATCTGACCTTATTTAGGACATGAAAACATTGTTTATCCTAGTAATAAATCAATATGTATGGTTATCAATAACCATACATAGTGGCACTTGCCAAGGCAGAAAAGTAACCTTTGGATATAGTCACCAGAGTATATACAGAACAATTTAAACACTGTGAGTTTAACACACACACACACACACACATACACACACACACACACACACACACATTTAACTTTTCATCATTGCCATTTAAAGCTTGATTTTATAAAACATAAAAAAATATTTTTAAGTGTTCTGTATCACAGGAATTTAAATAGTATAAATATCCATAGCCTTGTAGGTTCACGTTATATATATTAAAATCAAATAATTGAATTTTTTTCAATATAGGAACTACACAATGAAATAAATGGCACAGGACCTAATAGCAATATTTCATTACTTATGGATTAGTATTAGTTACTTTCAAGATCTAAACAAAGGCCATTGTTTAAATGTTTTAAAACGATTTAAAAGTCACCACAGTTGACCTTTCAAATCTGAAACTATATGACATCAATAGCTGCTGAATAAAGCAGTGTATATATGCACATACTTGCTCTCTCTCTTTCTCAGTTTCATAATATGCCTTTCATTTTTGGCTAATTTATTTGTCACTACATGAATAGTGTATTTTTCCAAGGCTTCAAGTAGATAACCATTAGGGCCAATCTTGGCATTTAAAATCCCAGAGAAGTTCAAGTATACTTTGGGAGAGAGAGATTTATAAACAAGAGTAAAAATATTAGTAAATGAGAGACTGTATTTCCAAGCAACAGAAATCCCACATCACAGCAAACCATGTCCAGATGGTTAGAAGATAAATCTATGTCAGAGAAAGATGATCTTTTCATATGGGCCAACAAGCAACTCCATTGAAGTTGACCACAATAAGGATGGCCAATTTACCATTACTATTGCCATTTTTGTTCCTAATGACTGTGGACCAGTAATGGTTAAGATTTAGAGCTTGATTTTGTAGGAGTCATCAGAAAAGCCACATATTAGGATTCTTATTTTAACGTTCCAGTGGACAGATTCCAGGAGAAGGATGCAAAATCCCCAGCCACAGAAGTCAGAGAAGTGGTTCAGTTGGACCTGCACGGCTGCCCAAAAGATTTTACTCAAGTACAAATCCAAGTAATGCCTTTCTTTGCTTGAAATCCTGAGGTAATTTCTCCCATAGCTTCAAATTCCTTGGTTTAGTACAAAACACTCTTTATGATCTGGCCTTAGCCTTGGCATTTATCACATTCTCGAGAGTCACTGGTCCCTGGTGTGTGTCTGCCACTCTGTGGTGAACTCCCAGAGGGTACGAAATATATCTTATTCATCTTAGGATCCCCAGTGCTAGGTCCAGTAAGAACCTCAGTAAGTATCTGTTGAATGGTTGAACAGATGGATGGAAATATTGCAGTAGTCTAAGACCTAACATGGCTGTGTTTTTTCCTTCCCCAAGGACTTTGGCATCATGATCCTGCATCACATTGTAGCTATTTTCTTGATTTCCTTTTCATATGTCAACAATATGGCCCGAGTAGGGACCCTGATCCTCTGTCTTCACGATTCATCTGATGCTCTTCTAGAGGTAAACATTTTCTTTCATCTTTAAGAGTTCAAAATCCAGAATTCAGGAAATCCCCAAGACCATCACTTCTATAGTATGCTAGACAGTGTTGGGGGAAGATAGTATATGATTGATTTGAAGCTGCTGAGTGTTTCTTTTGGAAATTGTTAAAGTGAGACTTTAGTATATAAATTTTTGTACTAAGAATGTTGATCATCATAGGATTCTTTATTACTAGAACAATGAAAACCTTCACTATTCCACACTTAAGAAAATGGATGTTTTACAATCAGAAAATCATTATCTGAATAGGTTTTGTTTCTGGTGTTGTAAAGTTCCACACTGATGTATATGGGAAGTGTAGATAACTCAATTCAGTTATTAATGGTAGTTGTACATCCTGATGAAGTTATTTAACGATCATAGTTTTTGTTCACAATATACATGTTATCCTAGTATTTTTACAGTGAGAAGTGTATATGATTTGCATATTAAATATAAAAACTATGTTCTCTCTATATATAAGTATAAAGAGTATCTGAGGAAATATTGGTTGTATTTTTATTAACTTTCTAAACCATTATTATTTAGGATCATTTAAGTAGCAAAAAAACAAAACCAAACAAAACACCAAGAAAAAGTAAAAGAAAAATGCTTCTAGCATATTTCAAAAGATAAAATCCCACGGAAAATTTTGATGTGGTATTTACTGTTAATCATGGCCCCTATGAAGAGACACGCCCAATAGAGATATATAATTAAATAAAATATTTTAAATTTATGCTAAGAAGTTTATGGAACTGGTGAAAGATAAACTTACCAAAGTATAAATTTCATGTAGAAATGGGTCTTAGAATCTATATGCTGAGTTTTTATTCTTCTTGGCCCACAGTTCTGCCCCTTTGAAGTAATACTGTCACTGTGAATAGAGAAGTGCCCTCAAATAATGATCTACTATTACAGTATAAGCAAAAATTCCATATGATAAAATTGAATCTGCTATAAAGACAATTAGTCAAGGCTTGAAATATATATAGCACTTTATGAAAAATTCTGTTCCCTATAAGGCTATGAAACAGAAACACTGCCCTAATGGGCTAAATATGTCAGATGATAGTGTGGCACTGTGATTTTTAAGTGATTTGAGCTAGGCTCTATTTAGCATATTTTTTAAAGGAGAAATGTAATTGTATAAGAGCAATCTGAAAATCAGTTACCATTTGGCTAAATCCTCAGTATGCTTGAAAGTGGAGATTTATGCAGCAATCTACAGTTTTGAAACCAACCCTGTACAGTTTGCCAACTTTAATGTCTATGGAAATGGCTGGTTGAATCTTTGTCTGCCACTTTTATCCAGAAAAGAAAATCACCCAGAAATGTCAGTCATATGGCTTGAAAGCAAATATTCTTCATCATGTGGATTTTCTTTACATTATACAGTAATGGTTGAGACTATCCAAATAATGAGATATGTCAACCATCAACTCTTTGAAGTGGGATGTATGACCTCGACATTTCAGAAAATTGCATGTTTGATGCCTTTTGATTGAATACCGGTGAAGAATGTAAGAGAAAAATGGTTTACCTAGGCAGAAGGAGGCAGAAGATGATTTTTTCCTTTCTTACTATAAATCATGGTGTCACACCCAAAGTACTCATGAAATTAAAAGTTCATAATCCTGGCTTCTGCTCAGTTAATAGGTATTTTTTTCTTAGGAATCCATTTCTCTCATAGTTCTGTGTTTTACTTGAAGCTACCAAATTTTAGCTTCTGTGGATGCTGTCAACAATCCTTTCAAGGTTGACTCAGCTAATTTAACTTTCTAAGAAGTAGAAATAATGTTATGAATTGAGCAAGACATCTTCAGTTTATAACCCTGTGTGTGGGAGCGTGCAAATTCTAGGTGAAAATGTAGAAAGAGGTGATCAAGCAAAATTATGTTTTCAGCGTCACCTGTTATTAGAATCATCTGTAAAAAGTAGATGGTAGGAAAAGGGATGTAATTTCTTCCTTAACTTATAAAAAGTGGTCATTAAATTACTGACATAAATTGTTAAGAGTAATTCTCATGGACACTTGGAAAATTAGTGACTTTCATCTAGAAAATGACCCATTAATGTAACTTTGAAAATTATACCTAAGTGGATTCATTGAAATAACATGATCTTGACATGTTCTTCATTTCTAAATTTATGAGAATAAGCCAAGAAACTGTCTTCCCAGATATTCCTTATTACTGTTTAAGGAAAACCTATAACTCTAAATAGAAAGAAGAAAGCAGTGCAGAAAGTCTCCATATATTCTGTATAAAGTCTGTGGCCTTAGTGTTTGCAACTCATTAGAGGTTTCAAGGATTGCCTAGTACTTTCTACTCTGACCTGTTATGACAAATTCCTGTGTTGGTGTCTTTGGCTTGCTAATATCATCTATAATGCAAGAATTTTCTTATTTTTCTGTTTCCCTGAGATCAACCATATAATTGAATTTTTCAGGTTGCTGAATGTTTGATTAAATCTGTGACAGTCAGTAGTTCTAATTCTAGCTAATGCTGCATTTCACTCAACTTGTGGGTAATTTATAAATACTGATGCATGATGCATGACATTTCAAAGTAGCTGGCAATTTAATGCATCTGGTAAGTTATATCTTATAGGAGACTCATGCATATTGAAAGAAGCTTTTCATTTATCAGTTTAACTAAATTAATATATCACATTCCTTCTTTTCATAGGCTGCCAAAATGGCAAATTATGCCAAGTTTCAGAAAAGTTGTGATCTTCTGTTTGTTATGTTTGCCATGGTTTTTATCACTGCACGACTGGGCATATTTCCTTTCTGGTGAGTATGCCAATCTTCTTTCTGTTAGAGCCACCCCTTCCACATAGTCTTTATGAATATTTTGCTTTTGAATTTCATTCCAAATATTTAGTGAGAGGTTTAAAGAAAAGTAGGGGAGGGACTCAAGAAATGCCTCGATGTCTTCTTCCAGAAGAGGGTTGTACTCTTTACTAATACTTCCTGCAGGATAGTTAGAGAGGGATGTGGCTTACAGAGGTTCTGAGGCCACAGAAAGCTGTCTGCCATTTTGGTGTCCAGTCTAGAGTATGATTCAGCAAACTTTAACTATGAAAGTTTGAATCCATAAAGGAAACTTGGTGTTTCAACCAGTTATGTATCAGAGATCCTCTGTACCAGGGGTTTACAAAGTATTGTTTCTGGACTGGTAGCAACAGCATCACCAGGGAACTTGATAGCAGTGTAACTTACTGGGCCCCACCCCAGACCTACAGAATCACAAGCTTTGGAGTTGGGTCCTAGAACTCTGTGTTTGGATGAGCCTTCCTGATGGTTCTGCTCCATATTAAAATTTGAGTACCATGTCCTGTGTAATTCTCTTCATCTGCTGTACGTACAGCTAAAACAGATGGAAGGTATAACCTGAAAGTAATCCCTGAAATTCTCTATGACCTATTAATGTCTGGATGTCTTTTGTTTTGTTGAGAGCTAAGGACACACTATGACTGACTTTGATGGAATTTGATAACCTTTCTATAGAAAATAGGTCCAGTGTCATTAATCTTTTTTCCAGAAGGCTATTACTTGAACTAGAAAAGAAATGAGCCCCATAACACGTAAAATCTACCACTGATGGCAGATTTTTTTCCATTTTGAGAAATTGATTTGAATGGAGAATTAAAGCAGTGGAAATTGGAAAAAAATGAGAAATTAAGGGTTGCAGTAATAATTTGCCTAAATAGAAAAATAACCATAATAAATTTGGGACTTTGAAGTGAGTATGTCTATCACTGGAGTTCCATAAACAAATTACTACACACACACACACACACACACACACACCCCTCTCCTTGAGGCTCTAGGCTCTTTTGAACACTTATTTATTATGAAAATCATTTCAAGAAGCAACATTTTGTGTTGGCAAAAAGCATTTATAGAACCCCAATATAGTTTTATGTGCTTATAGGTAGGACACACATGTAATGTTGAATGTAATGCATCTGTAATTACTTCAGGTTTGGGGCTGTCTCAAGATTATTGACATAACTGGTGATAAGAATTTAAATAGAAGTAATTTGGGCAAAATCCAGGACATACTTCTCAAGGGAATAATGGAAAGTTTTTCTTACCTAGGGTTTCTGAGAACTGAGTTACAAAGAAATAAGCATCACTCTCAAGTACTTTGATTTGCTTATATCCCTTGAAGGGTAGAATTAAAACTGAGATGCACCCCTTCTCCTTCCCTGTAGCCAATGTGTAAAAAGCTCTGTAGGTTTAGACGGTAATGAGTTGCCTAGAACATAGACTGCCAAATATAGAAATTATGTAATGCTACCAAAAAATAACTAATAGGTGTGCCCTGTGACGATGCCATAGACTAGCTGCTTAGAAAAATCCTTACAATCAAATACAAAGTAAGAAATTTTATTGCAAATGCTGTAGGACTTCTGCTACCATGCCCCTGCATGCAGCCAAGTTTTTCAAGAGGCAACTTGTGGAGAGAAGTATTTTATTATTCCTAATACAAGCAATAATTTCTATACCTGCTCCCATTGTAGTTGTACATCTAGTGAATGAAATCCTTTTCAGATATATCTAATAAGTTACATTAGTGCCTGGATGACCTTTGTTTCCAATTACTAGAGTGTAATGAGTATTTTTAGTGTTTAAAATTACCACATGCATGACAATCACCAATAGTGTTTTAAATATTTTCCTTAATACTGTGAAATTATTTTACAAGTTCCTTTTAGATTAGGAAATCCTAGAATTGAGGGAGACTACAGGTCACCAGCCCCAGAATCTTCTGCCACCTCTGCCCGGGATAGGAATTCTGTCAGTTTCCCTGATCTAGGAGTATTCCTTCAAAGGTTGAGGTAGAAATGGGTTCTTAAATGAAACAGAAACTTGGGTCTTTAAAATTTATAAGCTAGAGGTTCTTAATCTGTTTAGAAACCCCTGAAACAGTACAAAAAACATGTTTGTGTGTGTATTTTTTTCCTGGAGGAGAGGGTACATGGCTTTATTAGATTCTCAACAAGATCTGTGAGTCCCTCCCCTCCTCAAAAAAGTGCCTCTGGAAACAGACTAAGTGTACCTGCCACTTCGAATGGAAAACTCTTAAGAACGTGAAGATGTCTAACATATCATCTGTAGGCTTTCTTTTCATCAGAAAGCATCTCTAATCCCTTCAATTATTCCTGCTTATTGTTTGCTCGCCTTTGTTTGTTCCTGAGAATTCCTCTTGTCATGATGTTCCAAATGTGGATTTCCTGTTATAAAATACAAAGAACTAAAAACAAGTTTCATTTAGACCTGCATTACTTGGGGTGCCTGGGTGGCTCAGTCAGTTAAGCATCCGACTTCAGCTCAGGTCATAATCTCACAGTTTATGGGTTCAAGCCCCACGTCAGGCTCTGTGCTGACAGCTCAGAGCCTGGAGCCTGCTTCAGATTCTGTATCTCCCTCTCTCTCTGCCCCTCCCTTGCTCATGCTTTGTCTCTGTCTGTCTCTCAAAAATGAATAAATGTTAAAAAAAATTTTTTTTTTTAATTTTTTTTTTCAACTTTTTAAAATTTATTTTTGGGACAGAGAGAGACAGAGCATGAACGGGGGAGGGGCAGAGAGAGAGGGAGACACAGAATCGGAAACAGGCTCCAGGCTCTGAGCCATCAGCCCAGAGCCTGATGCGGGGCTCGAACTCACGGACCGCGAGATCGTGACCTGGCTGAAGTCGGATGCTTAACCGACTGCGCCACCCAGGCGCCCCTAAACTGCATTTCTTTAATGCAGCTTGCCATTGCATTAACTGCAAGCATCTTTGACGTTGTATTGTTGGTGATCTGATAAACATCTGAGCTCCTGCCAGACTAGATCTTCTTCGTCCTGAATTTATTTTTATGTATTTTTATTTCTGTAATGATTTATTTGTATACCTAATTATACAAACTGCATTCCTACCTATTCATTTTTATCATGCTGTTTTCAAATATTCTAGCCCAATTAGGGTCTTCTGAACTACATCCATTGCCATACCTGTCTCTTCCACCTTTATGCTACTTAAGCATATGCCTTTCATGCTTCTCCCAACTCATCGACGAAAAAAGTTGACCTAGAGGTACTCCTGGTACACTGCACTACCGAAGAATCTCTGGGTTGACCTCAGTCTCTCCACCGCCAGTCTTTCTTTATGATCTTTCTACTTGTTACTGTTGTCTCATAACTGTTCTGTCCTCATGCCTGCTATTTCCCCACATTTTTCTAAGGTGTAATCAAAGACTTTATCAAAGGTCTTGTGAAAGTGAGAATTTACTCTGTTGTTTGAGATATCCTCTGCACTTGTAGAGGCAGGGTGAAAAAAGAATACGGGGCCCATCCGGCATGACTTGATTTTAGGAGACCTTCGTTGGCTTCTGGCTCTTCATTTCTAGGTACTTATCCCCATCTGTTTGATTATCTATCTGCAACAGTGAGCTTATCAGTCTAAAATTTCCAGTCTTTTCCTTTTCCATATTGTTTAGGTGTGGACTTTTAGCTCCCAATATGCCACCATTTTTTTAATGTATTCTGTAAATGTTTATTGGGTACCTCCTATATAGCCAGTAAGGGGCTGGGTACTGAGAATTCAGACACAGGACCTGCCTTGGGGCACTTGGTATCAAACCCTGATAGGTCCCTTCATTATTCTGGTTTATAATTTGGGAGGCCTATGGATTATAAATTATTTTCGGAACATTTTCTGGAAATAAAGTAAGATAACTGGATTGTCAGTGTTAAATAGTTTGGTTGAGGTACTAAGGCGCTTTGACAACTAAATAGAGCATTATACTACATAGACTGTGTGTGTGAAACAGTCACTGGCTACTAGAGGGAAGGACCTGGAGGCAGAGTGGACTTCAGTTCTAACAAGCATTTTATTAACTTCTTTCTCCTTCAAGTACTTGTGCTTCGTGGAAGAAGAAACAAAATTGTTCCATGTGCTCTCTGCTCCTCATAGTTTTCAGTCTATTTACATTGGAATCACCAGCAAAATCTTCCGGGTTCCTCCTGACCATACATGTGTTCCCACATCAGCCATCAGAATTTTTGTAATTTGTGAGTTTAACACTGGGATCATTCTTCTTTTTAATTAAGTTTATTTATTTATTTTGAGAGAGAGATGGGGGAGAGTGGCTGAGAGACAGAGAGAGAGAATCCGCAGTGACAATGTGGAGCCTGATGCAAGGGCTTGAACTCACGAAACGTGAGATCATGACCTGAGCCAAAATCAACAGACGCTAAACTGACTGAGCCACCCACATGGCCACTGGGCTCATTCTTTGTTGTGTCTTCAGTCCATGTCTCATCTCACCAAGACAGCATCCACCATGATTAGCCTTTTCAGATTCATATATAGCTCAGACTTGGCTTTTGGCCACAATACATTCTTCTAAAACAGCATTGTCCAACAGAAATATAATTCAGGCTTCATATTAATTTTATAATTTCTAATAGCCACATTAAAAAAGTAAGAAGAAGAGGTGACATCTATTTAAGTAACATTTTATTTAACTCAGTATATCCAAAATGATAGCATTTTAACATGTAATCAATATTAAAAATTATTGATATTTTCATTCGTTTGTTGCACACTGAATCTTCAAAATTGGGTATGTGTTTCACAGTACTACATCACTCAGAAGTCTTTGTATTTTAGCCTTTTTGTTGTGGTTGGATAGTCAATGATTTTATCATTTTTGAGAATAAGCCCATCATTGTAAACTGTTACCATTTTCATTTATCTGTATCTGTCTTTCCTAAACTCCAGTTCGGTATAATCCCTA